TATAATAATAATAATAATATCACAAAATAAATCTTGTTTATTTGCATAAATCGACTTTTGTGAAAAATATCTCTTTTTTTTCATTTTCTTTAATTGGTCTAATCAATAAATGTATGCATTCAGAAAAAAATAAATTGTAACTTTAAATCATTTTATGCAATTTGCAGTTTCACTAATCGCAATATTTATCGATTTTGTTTTTCGGTTTCACTCGTTTACTGAAACGAGTAATGATTAATCGGGAGTAATATTAATCGTACATAAATCCCAATTGTATAAGACGATACGCGCAAAGTCAATCGATTTTTGGAGAAGGAAAGAAAAGGGCGAGAAAAAAAAAGTATCGAAGGAGTTTGCCTCTCTCCATTTCCTCTTTTCCACTTCCTGATCCCGGAGGCAGACGGCCGCGAGTCAACGCAGCTCGTTTTTCATTAATTGAAAGTAAACTTCAAGAAAGGAGAACTGGCCCAACGCTCGGGGGAATCTTTGAACAAAGTCATTCGAAGTGAGTTTTGAACTTGCATTTTGCCGCCAATCTCCAGCAGCTGGGCTTGTATAATATAAGGATCTGCGAAGAGTTCGAAGTTAACGCACAAAGTCTGCCTTTTGTGAAGATCGTAATTGATAAAAACACCACGAAAAACGATTTATTTAGATATATTCAGGCGCCAAAACTTATTTTATGCAGTTATTATTTTTAAAATACATCGAATTTCCGTAGTAAAATCATAAAGAGCGGGAGTTCTTTCTTATTATTTGGAAAAGAGCCCACTAAATACGTCATAGAATAATATATCAATGATTAGTGTAATAGAAAATTGAAATTTGAGGATAGTAAATTCGTACAAATTTCTTAGGAAAACGTTACGAAGGATATCTTATAATTCCTCGCAGCTTAACCATATTCAATATAATTTGTAATGGAAGAGCGCGACACACACACGATTACAAGTTTATATATACGCAAAGTTATAATTTTGCACACTTTATACACACGTTAAAACATTAATTCATGTTTAATGTAATATAGTGATGTGTAGAATATTTTTTACAAAATAGTTTTTGTGATACTTATATGTTCAACACAAATTTAATAGGCAATTATGGTTAATGCTTGCGTAAGAAAAGTATGCGCGGCCTCGCCTGTCGCTCGTTAACGACGAAGGCTCAAATATCTTAAAGTAACTGACTATTGGAAACCAATTATTTCACCATTAGCGCGGACGTAGACTTCAAATAATCGATCTTAAATAAAATGCAATTATATACTCGTTTGATACTTTTCAATGCGCGATGCTAAATGTTTTCACTTTGCAAATATATATATATATATTTTTTTTTTATCTTCATTCTGAATTTTTTTCTTTACTTCTACTTATAACAAATCAAATATTACACTATAAATTGTCCTTTTTGTTATCATTGCGTGACTTACCATCTAGTTTGATGACGCCATCTGTTCCACCAAGTGAATTTTGTGCGACACATTTATACGAACCAAAATCTTTCGGACCTACGTTTCTTATCTTTAGCATCATGTATTTGTTGTAACCGCTGTCCGTGGATATCGCTTCATACTTATCACCTGAAACAGAATTGCCTGTGCCAATAAAACCAAGTTCTCCGACTTTCATTTTAAAGTAGGATAGTAAAGTTGCAGAATAAAAAAAATCAAGTATCTGGAGTACTTCATCTATGTATATCAAGAACTCTTTTAATAACAATTTATTTATAATTTTGTATTCATAATTTTTTTACTTATATATTCTGCAAATAAACAAATTCTTGAGATATTATATAAGGATGTGAACTTTTAATCTATTTTTCAAATCAAATAATTATTTAATATTTATTTATAAAAAATATTATAATTTATATTTTAGTTTGCAGAAATAGAAATTTATATACAGTAAACTGTATCAAAAAGATATGCAATAATTGTGAAAGACATTTGCTAATCTGATTTTTTAAATTGTCCAGGACTATTATATCGCCGAGATATATTTTTGAAACAGTTATAAATCGAAAATGTATATTTAAAAAAAATTCTTTTCTTGCAGAACTGGGGAGTTTAAATATAGTAAACTGTATCAGACATGCAACAATTGCAAAAGATATTTGCATATCAGATTTTTAGAATTACCAGACACTATCATATCACCGCGTTCTGTTGTCCAATAATTTATAGAATTTGGATAAGCTTCAGTATGACATTCAAGAGTTACGTCTTGTCCAATATAGGCTCCTTCCAACTGATTTGGTATTGAAAGCATGGGTGGAACTGTAAATAAAAAATGTAATACACTGTAATTTATATATACATGTATATATA